GACCGGGTAGTGGATCGCCTGGCCTGCTGTCGGGAGTGACCGGACCGGGTAGTGGACCGCCTGGCCTGCTGTCGCGAGTGACCGAACCGGTTAGCGGACCGGCTGGTCTGCTGTCGGGAGTGACCGGACCGGGTAGCGGACCGGCTGGTCCGCTGTCGGGAGGGACCGAACCGGGTAGCGGACCGGCTGCTCCGCTGTCGGGAGGGACCGAACCGGGTAGCGGACCGCCGGCTGGTCTGCTGTCGGGAGGGACCGAACCGGGTAGCGGACCGGCTGGTCCGCTGTCGGGAGTGACCGGACCGGGCGGTGGACCAGCTGGTCTGCTGTCAGCAGTGACCGGACCGGGTAACGGACCGGCCAGTCTGCTGTCGGGAGTGACCGGACCGGGTAACGGACCGACCAGCCTGCTGTCGGGAGTGACCGGACCGGGTAACGGACCGACCAGTCTGCTGTCGGGAGTGACCGGACCGGGTAACGGACCGGCCAGTCTGCTGTCGGGAGTGACCGGACCGGGTAACGGACCGACCAGTCTGCTGTCGGGAGTGACCGGACCGGGTAACGGACCGACCAGTCTGCTGTCAGCAGTGACCGGACCGGGTAACGGACCGACCAGTCTGCTGTCGGGAGTGACCGGACCGGGTAACGGACCGACCAGTCTGCTGTCGGGAGTGACCGGACCGGGTAACGGACCGGCCAGTCTGCTGTCGGGAGTGACCGGACCGGGTAGGGGACCGCAATGTGGTACTCTAGAGAGGCACGTCACCCCACTGACTGGTCAGCGGGCCAAACGATGCTGACTGGCGGGCGACCCGTTCCGTGTCAGAGGCCTTTAGTGGGGAAGCTAAGACTGGGGTGTAGCTTGCGCAGGTTATATATTACCGTTCGCACTTGTTTTCTTTGGTAAGACAGCAGTAATAGCCTCTTATTCCGGGGAGAAAACCAGGAGAGTGAAAATTTAGATACGTTGATATCTCGGCAACATGCCTTTAATCGTTTTGATGAGATCTGTTACCAATATATCAATGCATCAAAATCTCCATTTTCCTGGTTTTCTCCAAAGAATAAGGCTATCACTACTCTCTTATATATGTGAATGATGTGTCCCCACAAATGCACTTAACAACTTACGTTGTTTTCATTGAAGTGGGACGTCTGGTGGCATTATATTTTTTTCAGATCGCCTTTAGTTTATGGCTTCAGCAATTATTTCCAGTCAGTAATTGTGTTGCAGCGTGTCACACAATCAACTACGAACACACATACAAAGACCATCAACACAGTTAGAATCGATTTCAGAACTCAAAGCCAAATACAACTTTGTTAAATAGTCCCTCGCGCATACCTTTCTTCAATACGCGAACATCGCCTGACATCCCAGCTTGTCTGACCTCGTCTGGTAGCTATGTGACTCGGGGTCACCTCACCCCGCATACGACAGAGGAGCTATCAGCACCAGCCGCCAGCGCTGTTTACGAGTCTGCAGCTGTCGCGGTCGTGCGGCCTCCCGCCCACTGTTACTCAGCCCGAAACTGTCTCATCCCGACCAAAATAGGCGCCTGCGGTGTGATAACCGCCAGTGGGTGGGGCGGCCAGACGGCGCCGTCCCCTGATTCAACAGGAAATGTCAAGCATGGTTAGCTCACTCCCGCCGGTAGCAAAATAAATACTGCGCTTTCGGTAGCGGACTCATGTCTTGAGAAGATGCCGACGCTCTACACATTTACAAACTTGCTTCCTTGGGTAGATTCATGGCTGTCCAAGAGCGCCACATAACGTGGCTTCATAATGATGAAATATTGCGCCGAATCCAGGCGAGGCTTTGACCGCCTCAGACGATTTTCAACTGAGACCACCCGGGTGACAAGTCGGACAGTATTTTGAAGCATCGCAACGCTGGGGGGCGCTTCCGGCACCCGCTTAATACAGATGTTATAAAACATTTACGGAAACCAATCACCACAGTAAAAGAAAAAAAGCGCTAAAGCAGCCTTTAGTTATGGGAAAATGCCAGTAGACAAGAGGCATTCGGCATTTCAAGGAATGGTAGGGACACCGAGGCGGCCTCCGGTGACATTATTGGCATGCAGCCCGCGTGCCATCGCAGAGCTGCTTATCGAGATAAAAGATGGCATGATAAATACTTGTATGGCAAAGGATCACCAGAAAACAACAACAAACATTGTAACACAAAGACTGTGTGATAAAAACATCGTTCGATAAAACATCGTACTCAAGATTGATGAAAAATGTTGCAAGCAAAAGACCGAACCGGAAAAGTTGTGATGGATAATATAGTCTTGCATAGAGATAGCAGGAATAGACCACTTTCATAAGATGCAAGCAAAAGCTCGGATTAGATAAGAGCCGCCAGGACAAATATCGTCAGGTGTAAAGGCCGTACGCCAAAGGAGCCTACACAAAAGGTCGTATATAAAATTGCCAGCCGAAATGACTCAGGGGAAGGACACGAACAATGCATGACATTATGTGGCGATTTTAACGTGACGAGTGGCAACAGTATGCAGGATCGGGCTCAAAGGCGTGCCTGCATCAGCACCTTACAGAGACCAAGTGGCCGCAAGTGGCCAGGAAGAAACAAGCAGAGCTCTGGGCGTTATGGTATGTTCAGATCACGGGGTTGGGACCGCTGCCACTCTCCTCCATCATTCAGCCCTGTACCCAGCGCCCGAAATCCGAGAGGCATCTTCGGCACGGATTTTGTCAAACTGCCCACACTGGGCTGTATATCTTGGATAATGAATTGCCATAGTGTAATATTTTTAGGCAGGACCTGGCGAACCCGCTATCAGGTTACACGTTGAGGGCCGCTATGCGGCACCACCCAGTTCTGTCTGGAGGAAACTGGCATCTGAAAACCGGCGCTCCTTTCAAGCATTTTTGGCAAGGTCCCACCGCTGCGCTGCATTTCCGCACCGGAGGTGTCTAACCTTACGTCGAATGTTTGACCCCAGGCACGTGTCCAGCCGGCGTGAGTCTCCGGCCATTCCAGCCGCTTGTTCAGTCTCGGAGAGTGCTCCATTTGAAACGGCAGTGCTACAAACAGCTGTGTTATGTATAAATGAGACACAAATGTTTCACAGGTATTTCAGTGTTTGCGCATTTTGCTCTTATGGTCAGTGTTCGCCGGCCTCGTTAAGTGCCTAAGCGACGACCTCATGGACGCACTTCACCATTCATAATGAGCCACACTCGCTGGCGTCTTGCAAATGACGTGCTTAGCCGCTGAACGCGGGGAGAGCAATCCTGTATCTCTTGTTTCCTGACCACGGGGATTGTCTGAATATACCAAAAGCTGTATAAGAATGCAGCAATCTTGAACGCCAATATTTTTCAACAATGCCTTCCAAATAGCGCGTGCTTGACCCATTTTTAGTATCCTTACTTGCACCTTTAAAACGAGTAGCTCAAGCGAGCCACCCTATAAGAAACCACAAAGCCTTCCGGCCTTTCTATGGTACAATCTGTGCCCTCAACGAGCTTTTGTAATTATGGTCTTTATCCCGCGCTGTCCTACCCCTCTCCGTCCTCGGCGCATTGTTTTTATCCCACACTATGCCTTTCTTGTACGCTTTTATTCCATTCCTACTTTTATCATGTAAGACTCAAATCTTGTATGGTCTTTTGTCCTGCCGTATTTATTCATATAAACTTGATCCGATATGATTGCTGGTCACGACAATCTCAAGTCCACACATTTTTGTCTCGCACGATTTTTCGGCACACGACTTCTTGGTTTCGATACCTTGCCATCGATCTTTGACCGAAGGGCCATAGTTTATGGCACTTGGGTTGATCTCATCGCACATGCGTTTCTACACTTCAGTGCCATTTCAGGAATGTGTCCGTAAGCAGCATGTGGCGTCTCAGAACAGAACAGAACCTGTGGCGTCTCAGAACTAGTGACTGCCAGCTAGCTGAATTCTCAAAACTAGCAGCATTGATTCTGACCAAATAGGGGAGTAAGCAGCCGCGTGCTTAAGGCCCCTGTGACGTACTGCATGACTTCAAGCCAGCACCACTTCCTGAGCGCATACCATCACTTCTGATAAACATTTGACCAGACCCGGCCGCTGACAGCAGGCATGCGTCACCGGCGCAGCCCGGCTGCAGCCACCATACGACCGATGACGTCGGGATTTCCCGCTGTGACGTCACCGCGGGTCGTTCAGCTGGTCTGCGAGCTCGGCCGACAACACCCGTCGGCCGGGCCCCACCGTGGCAGACTCACACTGCGCCGTCACACGCGTCACAGCCAGTAGCGCGCTGCTCGCCGACATCCACGCCACCCAGGGACACTGGGAGACTGTCATTCAACGACATGTGTGTCAACAGACAGGCTATCTCAGCCAGCGTTCGTTGGTCCCGCGTCGCCTCTGCCCAGCGCGGCACACACCACCACCCGCGGCACAGAGACATGTGTGCCGACCCTACCTCACGCCACACGCCAGGGTGAGCTGACACCAGCGCACGACATGCCGCTGCTCAGAGCCGGCACGCTTCTTCCAGACGCTAGCCGTACGGCGGCTGGCTATTTCGGTCAGGCACGGCGCTCCGGCGAGGTCGAGCAGCTGGCAGCCCAGCTCCACCGGCGGCGGCCGCCGCCAGAAATAGACGGCAGCGCGGGGCCGAGCCGGGGTGGACGCGCCGGGCGCTGCCAATAGATATCGGATGGGTATCAAACACGGGACGTTGCGAGGCAGCGCTGACGGAAGGCTTACACCACCGCATGCCAGCACCAATGCAGTTACATAAGTCAGTTTGCGTTACAGAAGAGCTCTATAGAACTCGTCCCGCAGTCGCATAATCCTGCGTGCCAGCGCGTCCTATGTGGAGCTCCTTGTTATTATCACACTCAGCCTGGTTTGCGCCCAGTGAAGGCCAACTGGTGATTCACACCGGTTCTGAGTCCGCCCGCGCGCGCCGTTAGAGGACCGCCGTCATGGGCGCAGGCGCGGCCGGCACGGCGGCGTCCAGCGGCGGCGGTGGCGGCGGACGCACGGCGCGCTCCGGAGGTGCTCGTCCAGTGACGCCGGTCCGCACGAGCTACTGGAGAGAGCTCGTCCAGTGACGCCGGTCCGCACGAGCCACTGGAGAGAGCTCGTCCAGTGACTGACCTGTGCGCACGACTGTGTGGGGCTCGTCCAGTGAAAGCGGTTGGGCGCGAGTAATTGAGTGCGACTCACCCAGCAGGAAAGAGCCGTAATGGGGACTGAGTGGTGCTCAATCCGGGCAGACGGCCCACGGGAGTGACCGGATGGAGCCCACACAATGACGACAATCCATGCGATAAGCTGAGTGACGTTTGTCCGGTGACAACGGCTTCTGCGACGGCAGCGGACTGCAGTACCTGGCAGCAGCTCCTTCAGTAACCATCGCAAGCTTGAAGTCCTCTGGGGGGGATCACCAGCACCTGTGAGCGCGTGCGGCGGTAAGGGCTGCTGTCCTGTCTCAAGGAAGGTGCAACGCCGGCTGTGAAGGCTTCTCATTCCTTGGTGTGAAGACACACCCGTCTACACCATGTCACTACGCAAGCCAAGGCAGCGACGCTACAGCATTCCACCTCTGGTGACCGAGGCCCCGGAAGAGCGCTGGTCTTCTGAGGATGTCGGCAGACACAAGAGCCAGTTTCTGGGGGACCACGCACTGGACGCGCGAGAGGCAAAGAGAAAACTCTCTGAAGAGGAAGCAAACCCATCGAATCGCGCGAAAACCACCAGGCGAGAGGAAGGTAAGAAGCCCCATCATTCGTCGGTAGATCAGCCAACTGAGAAAGGAAACACTTTCTTGGACGACCCGCTGACCAAGCCGCGACTCGCACAGTCCATGGAAGGCGAGAGCACGGGTCAGCCGGCCGGAGATGTGTGTCATGGTCCCCTCGCACCCGGCAGCGGCAGCGCGACCCCCGCGGGCCGCTCCCCGCCAGCAGCCGGCCTGCAGGTGCAAGAGATCGCGAGCGAGCAGTGGGAGGGACTAATCTGCCCGCCTCTGGCCCGGCTGCGCAGCCAGCCGCCCTCCTTCCTCGTGCAGGAGGTGGACTCGGACGAAACGTGCAGCGACTCGGACAGCGAGGCGGCGCCTCGGCCCCGTCACGATGACTCCGCGATGCGCATCGTAGAGGAGGAGACGCTCCACTTCGCCGCGGTGGAGGAGGAGCAGCAGGGCACCTGGGAGGAACCGCTCAGCGAGACGGACGACCTGGTCGTCTTCCCTGTGCGCGGTTCTCCTCGCTTTATCGAAGGTAGGCGCCGCATCGGCAGATGGTGGCCTAAGATGACAAGACGAGATTTTGAGGGATTTGGAACAATTGCGTACTATAAATCATAGATTACGGAGGGGCTCAGTGAAACTGTGTTGTGTTAGTGTTTCGCTTTGTCACTAGCTCTCTAACTGATGCAACCAGGATGCAATGACTGTAAAATCATCCCTAAAAGAATCGAAAAATAACAATAAGCACTTTACAATCAACACATATTAGACATTGCGCGCTTTACGTTGAAATTGACTCTTGAGCCAATATAACCAGGTGGTGGAAATCATTTTCCCGGTCCAGATGGCATCTTTCAGATAATTCGCAATGGACGTTTGATATCTGCACTGCCTAGTGATGCGAATTGTCTCGCTAGCACAGAGATAACGGTACTTTAAACCTTGGTGACACATTTAGTGATACTATCAGCCATCACACCACATATAGCGTTAATCTAAAAAATGACAGCTTTGGAGGCCTGCAAGTAACAGCCACGTGAACTAAACAAAACACCTGCACATGCTAACATTCTTGTTTGTTCCGACCTTTGAGGTTAAGCGATGTTTTTCAATCCAAATTTGCACGCTGTTATTAAAAGTTCGTAACTTCTTTTCAGTAGCCAAGGCCGTCGGAACGTCCCGCGAGGGAGATAGGTCATGCCCCTTCATGTAAGCGACCGTTTTTACAAACGCCGTAACATTTACGCTACTCTTTTAAGAAAAGTGGGCTGGCTATGGCTGAATACAGCTCCCAACGCTCCTCAGACATAAATAACAAAAATTATATCATGGGGTGGCGATAGGTTTGCTGCCATTAAAAGAAATGTGCAATTATTGCCAGGTCCAGCACGAAGTGGAAACAATCCTGGATTTGGGATGTGAAGATTTTCATTAATGACCTTGCGCTTGCAATACCTTGACTCTAGCGCCAGTAGTGGTCTGCGCCAGCCTGCAACTGACGCGGGGCAGCCATCCGCTGCCTGCTCTCTTGGAACAGGAAAAAATATACTTTAAAAGCCCCTAGACAGCTTATGAAAACGCTGAATAAGAACTAACCCGAGGACAGCGCAGTAGCATTACGGTGCATTGCCGGCGAATACCATATTCTGTCACGTTTGGTTTGTCATGACGTAACTAAAGCCATCTAGGCCATTAACCTGATGCAAATGAAAGCGCAATGGGCACAATATTGGATCCCAACATTTCAGAGTACCCTCGGTATTGGGAGATAAGATACAAACAAAGTCAGGGGGATGGTGCAAACCGTTGTGCAGATATTCTACAAGGCGTCACTGTGCGGCGGGTGCCTCTCAGAAAGATACGTCACAAGCCAAATGTCACTGGTAAGCAGCACGGCCGGCGACTTCTCTGCTTCCCGCACAGACGGTTTGGCCGTAGCTCCCCTTGGAAGCGACATCATATTTATCGCTGAATGACTTGCCTCAAACACTCCAGCTAAAATAGTGATTCTCGGTACTCCTGCGTAACAGCATTGGAAACGACGTCAGGCACAATGGGTGCACGAGCTCAGTAGGGAGTTATGTGACCATATTTTGTTGCAGATTCTTGCTGATAGGGTGGACAGCAAACCGAGTAAGGCCTCTCTGACATGACTTTCATTCGCCTTACTGCCATGGGCGCCCGTGTCATGCTGTGCGCTCGGTGCCTGGCGGTACGACTTCAATGTATGCGGCAGATAACTTTGCAAAGTGCTGATATTTCATAACGTACATGAGGCTACACACTACGAGAGTAAAATGCTCGACCTACAAACTACGAGGGTGAGGGTAGGGAGATTGGAAAGTAAACAGATTCAGCATTTACGTTTCGAGGGCCTGCATTTGAAACGAGTTGACATGAGTTATGACGCATTCATTTTTTCGGGATCTACACTTGAGACGAGAAAACATGAGTTATGATGCATGTATTTGTTTTCAGTCATGCCAGCCAAAGGCTGTCAGACATGACACATACGTGCAGCGTCTGACAGCTGTCTGCCACGAACTTGGGAGCCACTATTCATTTATCTCGCCATTCTCGTGTGAGAAGAGAAAGCTTGCGTCTTGTGGCCAGAATTGACCAGCACTCAAGCTAAGCTGGGGTCGTGACGCAATGTTGCTGGCTCTTCCCCAGCTTAGCACCCCTCTTGGCTTTGCCCCAAAGGTCGACAGCTTCGCCGTGTGGCATTCAGCGCCTCTAACGCCCATTATGCGAACTGCCGCTCCGGAGACAGCTGCGTTGTGGTATGCGAATGTTGCGGTGGTGCACCTGGAGAGGCAGTACAAACTAAATGCGTCGCTGGAAAGGGGCATCACAGTACTATAGTCACCGGACCTGGTGTAAGTCCGTGCCTGATAGCACGCCCACCAATGAGGCGTCTTCGGAGCCACGTGGTGGGTTACACCAAAGCAGCGAGGGCACTTGTGCCGATGATGCCAAAAACTACGGTAATGGACACAGTCACGTTAGGCAAACGAGACCTACAGACTCAGCAACATGTTGGAAATTCCGCCCTTCGCGAGAATTCAACCGACGGCGATATTCGGATGATGGTGCAGATGTGGACCCCACCAATCGCCAGCTAATTCACAAATAGCATCGTTTGATTCAGCCTCAACAACCTAACCGACAACATCGATAGGCTTGCAATGAATATCAGTACACGCAATTGCAACAGTGGTGTTGGGAGGGGTGGAAATATTTTGTGGTACAGTAGTCACAAAAAACATGCCCATACATCGACGTAGCATTCGCGGCCCAAGATCTGTCAGTCCAGGCCAAAGCGCACTGTAATCGAAATCGGTTTGACAAAGCCCTGCTCGTTCAGGCCGGCATTGGGGCCTTACGACGCACTCAGCTTCTGGGGCTACATGACAGCGCCTATCTCTCACTCCTACAGAAAGGGCGGACGCGGAGAACCAAACCACGTACCTCTGGTTTCCGGGAAGTGGTGGCGTTGGCCGTGCAGGGGCCGATTCCGGTCTCACCTATAGGTCAGACAGTTTTGGGATCTATTGGTGTAAAGATGGCACATCCATGGTTTGCGCACGACGGCGCATGCGAGTCCGCACCCTATGACCTACACCTTTGCCAGTACGACTGACCCTTTTCTCGCCTCTTGGTGTCAGCCTCGTGTGACCGTGGCCCCCGGACATCTACATCTGGACCCGGTTTCGACCCCTGTTTTTCAACGTTTCAAAGTTCGAGAATTTTGCTTTTGCCGTGTTAACCCAAATGAGATGGATGCAAAATCTTATGATATTACAGTGTTACGTGGAAACCCTGTTGGATCAAAATGAGACGTACCTTGCAAAGTTGCTGACCTATATGAGGTCGATATCAGATCATGGTTGGCAGCACAGTTCCCAGGGAATCACTCAATCTGTTGTGACAGAGGGGTGTTCAACGAAACCATGCATCTCTGAGATAGTTTCTGAGACAATTAGGTAATCAAATTTAGGATTACAAGTAATCACATTGACCTTATGTCAGGTATGAAGGTCAGGCCGAGGTAAAAATGAAACCACTGCTTGCTGAGTAACTTCTGTACTAGTAATATTTGAAGCTCATTTCGAATGTATTGTTAACAAAGACGCCAACAGACATCTTATTTGGATTTCATGAAGTTCAGAAAAGGTTCCTCACTTAAAGTGACCCCGATGAGCCTTTCGTTTTCAGGGAAATACGCCCGAAGCGCAATCCTTGTCGCTTATTCAAATTCGAATAAAGACATATAAGTATTTGAAGTCTATGTCATCGTGCGCTTCTGAAGGTCAAATAAAGACATTGACCTGAAATGAAGGCCAGTGACATTTTTCTTAGAACGGACGTCTAGGTTAAAGGGTGACGAGGAGGACCGAGGGCGCTTCAGACACCGATTTGGAGTTTGACCTTGTTTGACCTTATTTGACCCAAGTTATGACCAATATATCTCGAAAGTGGATTCGCATACAATTTTGCCTACTCTGTGAATTAAGTGTCTATAGCTCTCCGAGTTTCGATATATCAGGAGGTCAAATTGAGCTTCCCGCGCCCGATCGCGTCGCATTCAGCCGGCCGCCCGGGTGCGTGTTACCTTCCAGAAAGCGTGACCGCCGAGCCGGTCTGGGCTGCTCAAGTTAAAAATTGTCTCATAGTTCAACTCTGTTCCACTCGGTTTGCGGCGTCCTTCGTAGTAACCTACGCATCATTTATTCGTAAGCAGTATTTCCGCGTGGTCTGTCAGTTGAGTTTTTGTGGGAAACGGAGCGACAGCTCTGGCCGCTGTGCTGTATCTCCTTATATGCGTCGCCCTATAGGGAGATGAGCAGGTGTGTGTTGCCATGTAGAGGACATGACATACCTCGTCAAAAGATTTTGGATGTTGACACCGTAATTTCTTGCATAGTAACACTTCGCACAATATCTCGAGTAAAATGTCATAAAGCGAAGTGAAGCGACATCAGCATTGTATTCCTGAGTGTGCTGTGCGATTACCACGCTTTCGTCTCCTTTACAGTTCCGAACGAGAGGGCTGTGTTCTCCACGCTTCGGGCTAATCGACGAGTCATTGTGCCACTCCGGAGATGCCTGTCGCCTATGCCGGAGGAGACATGTGAGGAAATGGACTGCACCGACTCGCTTCCGTCGGAGACCCGAGCACGCGAGGAGGTGCACGAGGATGCAGTGTGGAGCGAGTCACTGCCCGTGGAGACGCGCCTGCGAAAGGAACCGGGCAGGCATGAAACATGGAGCGAGTCACTTCCAGTGGAATCACGGGTGCGAGAGAGGGTGGACGGACATAAGGTGTGGAGCGAGTCACTGCCCGTGGAGACGCGCGTGCGAGAGGAACTGGCCAGGCATGAAACATCGAGCGAGTCGCTTCCAGTGGAATCACGGGTGCGAGAAAAGGTACACGAACATAAGGTGTGGAGCGAGTCACTGCCCGTGGAGACGCGCATGCGAAAGGAACCGGCCAGGCATGAAACATCGAGCGAGTCACTTCCAGTGGAATCACGGGTGCGAGAGAAGGTGGACGGACATAGCGTGTGGAGCGAGTCACTGCCCGTGCAGACGCGCGTGCGAGAGAAACCGGCCAGGCATGAAACATCGAGCGAGTCGCTTCCAGTGGAATCACGGGTGCGAGAAAAGGTACACGAACATAAGGTGTGGAGCGAGTCACTGCCCGTGGAGACGCGCGTGCGAGAGGAACCGGCCAGGCATGAAACATGGAGCGAGTCACTTCCAGTGGAATCACGGGTGCGAGAGAAGGTGGACGGACATAAGGTGTGGAGCGAGTCACTGCCCGTGGAGACGCGCTTGCGAGAGGAACCGGCCAGGCATGAAACATGGAGCGAGTCACTTCCAGTGGAATCCGGGGTGCGAGAGAAGGTGGACGGACATAGCGTGTGGAGGCAGTCGCTTCCAGTGGAATCCAGAACACGACGGCATTTGGAAGGTGAAAACAAATGGAGCGAGTCACTGCCTGCGCAGTCGCGCTTAAGGATGGGAGCGGGTGGGCACAGCGTATGTAGCGAGTCACTTCCGGTGGAGTCACGGGTGCGAGCGGAGGCGGACAATGGCAAAGAGTGGAGCGAGTCACTGCCCGTCGAGTCACGAATGCGAGTGGACAAAGGTCGGCCTACACGGTGGAGCGAGTCACTTCATGCGGAGTCACGAGTACGAGAGGAGACGGAGTCACTTCCAGTAGAGTCACGGGTGCGAGAGGAAGCAGGCAGGGGTAAGGCGTGGAGCGAGTCTCTACCAGTGAGTGCCAGGGTCAGTACACCAGAACAGTGCACTGACTGCAGTACGGATAGCGGTGTATTCACGGAACAGAGTGACGGTAGGACACTGCATGAAGTAGACAACTGGAGAAAGCCCGCAGTACCTGCCACCGAACAGCAGCTGTCCAGTGAAAACATGACGGGCAACCTTCAAGGTGCACTGCCCGTCCAAAGGAAATCGCCATCAAGTGAACCACAGCAGGGAGCTTCCGAGCAAATGGTGACGACGATGAAGGGCCTGCATCGTCACAATACCGCGAAAGACAGAGCCAGCATTTGTGACAGTCAACGGGTGCTACACCGCACGTCTGCAAACAAGGATGATGTCACACCAGTTGAGGTTTTAGATCGCACAGACGATAAGAAGTACAATTTTAGCTCGTTAAAGGAGAAGCGTAGAGAAGCAAGGCTGGCCGAGAAGAACAAAAAAGATCAGCTGCTGCGGGAATCATCCGCCAGTTCCACACATAAAGTTCCACTTGCTTCCAAAGCCTCCAAACATTACGAAGAGAATCGTAAAGGCAAACCGGATGTTGAGCATAGTTCAAGCGAAGGCCGCTTGTGTAGCGGTGTCCACGAAGACAAACGCCACTCCCCAATGTACGGTCTTAGTTCAACAAACGGGAGACGGACGTCCCCAAGGGAAGAAACAGCGTCGGGAATCAACAGAACGGGAGCGATACCACGTTCATTTCAGACCAGCGCCACGGACAGCGCGACAAACCCAGAAGATGTGGACACCAAAGCAGCCGTCGGCAGAGCACCCAAAGCAGACGCCGCTGAGGGTGCTGGAGACGGTGGGCGTCCGCAGCGAGGTGGCCTAGCCACCGGGACAGGACCAGACACGGCGACACAGGCCAGCTCACCGGCCGCTGGCAGCGGGCCGGAGTCGCCGCAGCAGATCCTCGCTCGGCTGGAGGCGGAGCCCGGCTGGCAGACGGTGCGGCCCACCCGCGCGCCGCAACCACCCGACAACGGCGGCTGCCCAGGTGAGACACGCCAGCGGCGCTCCACCTCAGTCAGGCAGCTTCAGCAGCTGTGAGCTGGCTTTGGTAGCAGCTCGGCTGGTGTCAGCGGTGCAGTTGCCTTCCGCCTTGTTTTCACAGTATTTTGTAAAGGGATTCAGGTAAATAAGTGCGTAGCAGTTATCTACATCGATAAGATAGTAGTATTAGCCTTATTCATCGGAGTAAAACCGGGAGAATGGAGTTATAGTTGGGCGGATAGTTCAGCAACATGCCTTTATCGAAACAATAGCAGAAGTGAATTCAAACCCGCCTGCCATTGATACCACTCGATTTTTCGTTTTTTTTACAGGAAGTCACAGTTTTTACAGTACACCAACATTCAGGGAATTAAACAAAGAGCGACTGCCATCCATTACAATGATACAGTGCTTATCTAAGAATTAGAATGCACGAACATACCCGTACATGAACATACGAATTCAATCAAATAGGCATCACGCATCACGTTTCATTCAAACATGTAAGTGGATTAAAGTAAACAGGCATCACGCATCGCGCATCATTTAAACCTGCAGGTAATTTCAATTGAACAGACATCGCACATCACGCGTCAGACATCACTAACACATGCAAACGATTTTAAGCTAGCACACATCACACATAAAGGCACATATCACGTTCGCATAATCAGCCATGACGAGCCCTGTATGTTGAGATTTGGTCGCCGACTTTTTATAATAATAGATTCACTTATTTTCCTGTCTGGGTGGTCCTGTGCTCTGCAAATGACTCTGAGTTCTAAAAGAGGTCACCCATACCTCCCTCGATTACAGCCTGGGCGTGTTTTACCAGAAAAAGGTCCCCGAAAGGGGTATTCCCTGTTTTGTTTTCAGCGCCTCGCAGGTGTTCATCATACCTTAAACAAACAGGCCGCATGAACCCCCCGACATAGACTATGTCCTTCCAATGTTTTTCACACAGTCTACACTTGATTTTATAAGCCACGCTTTTTTGCGTGCAAGCCCCTTGAAACCCAAAACCGCATAAATGACTTCCAATGCCACTCACATTTGCCACTTACATTGCCACTTGCCACTTAATTGCCACTTACATTGCCACCGGTTTTCAACCTTACTGTCGGTTTTCCAAGCCATGTTACGCACAGTTTTTATTTTCAAACAGCGTGTTTGATTTTCCAAAGCAAATGCCCATTCATGTAAGATAGCGTTAAGAATCCGTCTTCCAATAGGACGTGTTCCGGCCTCCTACCGCCCATCCCCCACGCGCTCTAGGCTTTTTTACAGTTACCCAACAGCAAAGCCAATCTTTTGTTCATGCCCTATCTTTCCTTTTCACTACTTGATGGATTGTTTAGAGCCCTAAGGAGCAGGTTAGGAATTTTGTTGTGCTTATTGGCAGTTGGATGTGCAGATTCGTAGCGCAGAATGATACCAGAGTTGGTGGGCTTGATAAAAAGTTCCATTTACTATGCTGTGAGGTTGTTCCTCCTTTCCACCGTCACTAGCGCATCCGGATACGGATAGCTGACAATGGCTGGCAATCACTCTTTGATTAATTCCCTGTAAAAACTGTGGCCTGCTGTTAAAAAAGAAGCTAGAAATCAGGTAGGATCATTGGTAGGAAATTTTTCATTCACATTTTCATCGTTTCGATAAAGGCATCTCGCCGAAATATCACCCCAACTATATCTCCAATCTCCTGTTTTTTTCTGCGAGGAATAAGGCTAATACTACTGCCTTATCTATGTGAATAATGCTCCTCCCTAATGCACTGAACAACTTACGCAGCAGTTATCCGTAAGTCGCTTAACAAAGGGACTAAATGATGGCGACATTGTAACACCAGGGCAACGCTGGCTAATGTTCCGTTGGGCTGACATCTCTCTAGAGACATGGCTGACAAATGCAAGATCAAAGGGAAAATCCCACGCTCTCTGCTATTTTAGAGAAAATGACTCATCGACTAAATTGTGACGCACATGCTCTTATTGCTCCGGGGTGGCTGATCGGGCTACAGCGGAAGCACTGGCCACCAAATCGAAGATGTTGTGCGACTGATCTGCTCTACCCGTTTCAGGGGATGCAGTGAAGGGACGCATTGCTTCCGTTTGTTTGTCATTGTACGGATGTCGGCAAAGAGAACCCGGTGACCAGTTTTGCTCCGCTGGTTCCAGAGAAGCCATCGCTGATCCCGCTGCGGGACTGCGAGTGTTACGTCACCGAGACGCTGGTGCTGGTCTCCGAAGGTAGCGGGTGGCCGCCACCCTCGCCGCTCTGGGTCGTCAAACCATTCCTGTGAGTGTCCAACGAGTCTGCTCAAACCGGGCTATGCTGCAGCGTCGGCAGTCTGCGGCTTGCTGAGGGATCGCTTGTGGGGTTTCCCAGGGGACAGGGGACAGGGGACTCCCTGAGTGAAAACGTGGAACGCAGAAAACAAGGCTAAAATTTGTGTGACGTAGTAAAGCATGGGCAGAAATGTAAAAGGTTAAAAATGCTAGCATCCACTGATACAGTTGCAAGCACACCTATTTTTCTAAGCTTAAAATCCGCAGCAGGCTCCTACTGGCTGCATCCGGGGCGCATCCAGTATTTTCTTAAGGGAGGGGCGGCTCCATCCTCTTCGCTGCGCCCCTGGAGCGTGCCAAACAACATTGGCAGAGACCTATTGATGTGCACTAATCCCCCCTTCAGAATACGGGCATTGGTCGTGCATTGCGATGCTCGTATTCGGCTAGATGCTGAAACTGTTAACATGATGCTTAAATTACGCAGCGCCATTGACAGGATTGGAGCCTAATATCGCTGGTTACGCGCTTGGCATACCGCGTCTCGATAATGTGCAGTCGCTTGTTACCGTGGTAAAGTGTTGAATTAAAACAGTGCAGATTTCTGCGTGCGCTTTTGTAGCCAAAAGCTGCCAACAATTGTGGCTGCGCTAATTTGGCCCGCGTGATTCGTTCTTCAAACTTTTATGCTGATGCGCTGGTGTACATTTCGCTATTTTTGAGGACCGGGAACGCAAGGCTTTCAGACAGTATATACTCCAGCCAAATCTATATCTGCTGAATGTTCTTGCTGTTCCTGGGTTGAGCTCGCAATGACCTATACGCTGCTGCTTGCGATTAGACCGGTGTTCGCGCGCAAAAGTTTGCCACCTAACCCGTATTTGTACGCTATCCTATAGGTGCAACAAATCGTCGCCTGAGGATAGCACGTGAGGAGCCGAGCGGTGTACCTCGGGGACGGAGCAGTCTTCTGCGGTGGCGGGGCAGCCTGGTCTCATTGTCTGGTGTTTGTGCTAGACTGCTGAGCCTCGAGACGCCCGTGAAACCTGTACTGCACGTGCCAACTGGACGGAGCTGTTTTTTTGTCGTATTTTTTTCGCTGTATGCATGTGCAGTGAAGATAACAATGACGCTTTGCTTAGCCTCTCGTATCATCTCAAGTGATGCATGTTATGACCATATTATTCATCTGCCATGTAGATTATTACTCCTTGAATTCCATGACGACATTGTAGCTTCAGCCTATGAGTTTATCATGTCGGAAACTAACTGCCAGTGGATGAAATACAAATAACAGTGGCGGTATTTACAATGGCGGCACTGGGGAAAATAACTGAATGATAGCAAGACAGGCATACCAAGTTCAAGTGAGGGGAGCAATAAAACAGGTCTACTCTTTTAATTCAATAGCAACCAGGCATGGAACGTACTGCAAGACAGTGTTTGCAGAAATTGTCCGAACCATAGTATGAAACGAAAGCCCCAGGGGAACGTTACAAGAAAGCACAACCCTTACCAAAGCACGCATATGCTATCCATTCGATCACGCAGATTTGCCAGCAAAATTCCATTATCATCACACTTCATCTCAGCACTCAGCACTTAACCAGTGCACCAATTATTACCATCTCACCAATGGCAAGTGCAAAATTTTCCACATGCAAAAAAGCTGAAACACACAGGTCGAAATCAAACCAAGGTCCCGAAGATAAGACGCCGCAGCAACACAGAACCAACACATATTGGCGGCTTACAGTATGGACGAACAAAGCGGCAAAAATGCAGGTGGATGTGTGCAGCCGGTCATGCAATCTTGGGCGCCAGCCGTGGACTCACCTGTTTTGACAACCACCCGCGCTGATGTTGAATTTTCGGGAAACCAAAACAGGCAATGCATGCGACCAATTTCATGCTGTGACAGCCATTAACAGTTCGCATACAGCGAAAACTACAGATTAAGACGAACATAACGGTCCGTAGCAACAACATCCTGAACTTGGACCACACTCACTGTCACGGTAACCCTCGAAGCTAAACCATCCCGAACTCGACCGGTATTATTACCACAAAATGTCTAATGCAACACCAAAGCTATTTATCTGCTAGCTAAATGTTCCATGGCGGCACCACATTCAAGCAGCTCTCATGATAAGGGTTCATGCCTGGAGAGTTAGAGCGGCGCCTGCCGTCGTGCAAGCGAGCCCTCCCCGGACGCGCCGCTGTGTCTTACTGGCCAGCGGCGGTGCAACTACGTCCCGCTGGTCAGCGTCTGCGCAGCTGTGTCTCATTGGCCAGCGTCGGCGCAACTACATCTTGCTGGTCAGCGTCTGCACAGCTGCGTCTCATTGGCCAGCGTCTGCGCAACAGGGTCTTGCTGGTCAGCGTTTGCACAGCTGCGTCTCATTGGTCAGCGGCTGCACAGCTGCGTCTCATTGGCCAGCGTCTGCGCAGCTGCGTCTTGCTAGTCAGCGTCCGCGCATCTGTGTCTCATTGGCCAGCGTTTGCGCAACAGCGTCTTGCTGGTCAGCGTCTACGCAGCTGCCTCATTGGCCAGCGTCTGCGCAGCTGCGTCTTGCTGGTCAGCGTCTGCGCAGCTGCGTCTCCCGTCAGTCGACACGCACCTCCTGCTGGAGCGACGCAGGCGCACAGACGCCAGGTATTGCGGGAGGTAGTGCATGGTGCCGACCGGTTTAAGGCTCACTTTGTACAAACCGACGCATAGCTAAAGCCAACGAGCGCTGCACAAGAAATTGGTTCGATAGCATTAAAAGCACGGTTCAGTGACACACTCCCCTGTACGATAAAGTGCGCAGGAGTACTCAAACGCTGAGCCACAAACCGCTTGGGATTAAAACTGACGGAGGACTGACGCTTCGGAAAGGAGGCTAGCAGGCTTATCCACGGCCTGACATAGGTCATCGTCAGACACTTTTCGGCCGAAAATTCCCCAGCAAGTCTGTTCAGTGCATATTGCATTTCGAGGGCCTCGCGCTGATCAGAACAAAGCAGCAGTGTCACAAGGCAATGCCGACGTAATGAGCCAAGAGAGCTCTCGAGCATGACGGCATCAGTGATCTCACTCGACCATCCTTGTACTCATGACCCGACGCACTTGAAACCATGGTGCGGATACATAGTTATTGAGGTGCTGTTGACTAACTGACCGGATGTTTCGCTCGCGTTGTTACGCATGTGTGACTACATGTGTTGTTATTTCAAGTGCTCCGCTTGGTCCGATGTGATGTCGTCTGGGGGTGAGAAGAACAGGAGCATTGAGCTACTTAAGTACATGCATAGAGCCATGGATCCAAGAGAGTCATTTAATCTTGCAAGGCCGGTTCCGGACACGTGACCAGGCCGTATACGTGAGTCGAGTCCTGGACACCGCACAAGACCGGTCCCGGACACGTGGCCAGGCCGTATATGTGAGCCGCGTCCTGGACACCGTACAAGGCCGGTCCCGGACACGTGGCCAGGCCAGGCCGTATACGTGAGCCGCGTCCGGGACACCGTACAAGGCCGGTCTCGGACACGTGGCCAGGCCAGGCCGTATACGTGAGCCGCGTCCGGGACACCGTACAAGGCCGGTCTCGGACACGTGGCCAGGCCAGGCCGTATACGTGAGCCGAGTCCTGGACACCGTACAAGGCCGGTCCCGGACACGTGGCCAGGCCGTATACGTGAGCCGAGTCCTGGACACTGTACAAGGCCGGTCCCGGACACGTGTCCAGGCCGTATACGTGAGCCGCGTCCTGGACACCGTACAAGTGCATGACGTTCGTCCCAGACCAGGCAGTGCTGCCCACATGGGCGGACTAACAACTGCAGCTGTGACACTGTCATTGTTGCTATTGGGACTCGCCAAATGTTTTCTCAGGTGGGATCTTCCAGTTGGAATCCGCGAAATCTGGCGATGTGACAGGACCAGCTTAGCAGTTCCAAAAAATCACATCCTGATTGCTCGGATGATATATCAGACCAACACGTGCTTGGAGATGTATATACAATGTGTAAAAATGGCACTGCTCTGAAACCTCGAAGCGGGGCACTGTCCAGGCGCACAGAACACGCGTCTTATAACAGGAACGAGACGGCTACACTCTGACCGGCACTACGACATGGATAGGGTGCAGCCGAAGCCTCCACAGCAAACAGCACATTACTCGTGGATTGGAGTAAAATAATCACCTGGACGGTGTTTACCTCTCAGAATATGTGGTCGGGTGAAACACATCCTTTGTGTATTTTGGTACTTTTTATTAAAATCACCCGTGACCGCCACCTCAGCACAACTTTTTGCATGGCAAGTGGGTGCCGCCCTTGAATTTTTCGCTGCACAGTCGCACATCAATACAGCTTGGGAAAAAGACAGCACTGGCTCTTCCTTGGCTCAGTTCAAAACAATAGGGCATGATGCATGCGATGATATACAGTTGAAAAAACGAGACTAGTTAGATCAATATTTCGTAGACCAGTTGTTCAACAAGAATGCTGCAGCTCAATTTAGTGCATTGCTAACTAATAGCAAACTGTGTTGATAAATATATATATATATATATATATATATATATATATATATATATATATATATATATATATATATATATATATGTGTGTGTGTGTGTGTGTGTGTGTGTGTGTGTGTGTGTGTGTGTGTGTGTGTGTGTGTGTGTGTGTGTGTGTGTGTGTGTGTGTGTGTGTGTGTGTGTGTGTGTGTGTGTGTGTGTGTGTGTGTGTGTGTGTGTGTGTGTGTGTGTGTGTGTGTGATCTGTGGATGAGTGCGTGATTCCACCGATGCAGAATGGCGCACTTATTCCCAGATCTCATTGTTTGAAAACTAGCGCATAGTAAAACTAGAACTAGTTCCATAAAGTGACGCTAAGAAATCGTGCACCTTGAAAAAGACCAGAAGAGCACGCGCGCCGTGACGGCTAAGTTTCACCGTTGAATCTTTTAGAGTGAAATGCGCCAAATGAAATACGCCAGTACATAAGGCAAAATATACCACTGTCTTCCCAGTATGCTTACACACCGTGGTAACAAACTACGCCGCAAGCCGGAAATATCTACCCGCAGCAACAGCTTATACTGTCACGCATTTCTCAGCTACAAATAGCTGAAATCTTTCAACGCTGCAGTGTTACAAGCATTATGAGGAAATGACAAAATCTTGCAACGCGAATGTACGCCATTTCCCTTTCTGTTTTCAGTAACTGCGGGTACCAATCATCATAGGACCTCAAAACGACCACGGGCCTCGCTAGTACAGCTGACCGGGAAGCAAAGCACCCAATGGCACGCGATCTTTTCTGGGATCGGTGTCAAAGGAGAGGCGCTGCTGCCTGCGCACACGAGACTGCGGAGAGGCCATGGAGATTCTGCCGGCGTAAAGCCCTGTTGGTTATGACTGCTGCCCATCTAAAATAATTGCTTCTTTACAATATTTTGCGCACGGCTTCCAAAAACCGTGAATCGTTTAACATTCATAGATTTTGCTGACTAGAAATAGTCGCAAGCATGACCAATTAACAGCCAACCATTCTCAACATATTTTTGTCGATTTTCCATCAATAGAATTAAGCCTGCGATTTAAATTAGCATGAAAGTAAGGCTGTGCGGTGCATTACAACTCATGCCAGCGGCTTCAGAAAGTGTCTGGTTGCCTTAGCTTAAAACGCGCCCAGGTGGGGACAAAATTGACCCCGAAGGCTTTTCTGGAATGGTTTCCGAACAGCGCAGCGAAGCTGCGCCAATTTTGCATAGCTGTAGACAGTTGAATTGCGGATCGTCTGACATCAAAAGTTTAGATGTACCTTGTAATGTTGGTGACCTATGGCACTTCAAAGTTAGGTCATAGTTTCAGCGAAGGCGATTTCTAGGGAATCGCTCAATCCGATCCAACAACGGAGTGCTAGATGAAGCCACACATCATACATCATCATGCATACATCTCTGATATACTTTCTTTGGCAACAAAGCAATTAACTGAACCAATCACATTGACGAAGGGTCAGGTATAAAGGTCAGATCAAGGTGAAAACCAACCTACCTTATTACTCTAGGGCTTGCTGTATGAGGTAGTTTCTGGTGCTCATCTCGAATTTATTGGTGACAGGAACCGCATTATACACAGTCCATGGACTTCTTTTAAGGTTGGAACAGGTCACTGACCTAAAATAACCCAGGTCAACGTTTTGTTTTTAGAAACATACTGGCTAGCATTATCTTTGTCGCCCCCTCAAATGCAAAACTCAAAGTAGTATGATTGATATGAAAGTAGTATGATTTTGGTCACCATTACCTCAAAAATATCAAGTGAGGTCACTGAACTTAGCTGAGCATGTAACCTCTTGTTTAGAACAGCTATCTAGGTTATAGGGGTCCTTTGAAGACCAGCCTGGAATTTAACCTTTTTGACTATATTTGAGCCAAGGTCATAACCTAGGGACCTCAAACTTTGACCTGAGTGAGATCATGTGCAGGTCAATACACCCTATGAATTTGGTGTCTCTATCTCTCTTAGTTCCAGAGATCTCAGAGGGGGGGGGGGGTCAAATTGACTTCCCACCCGAGCGAAGGATATCCAGCCGGCCAGCCAGGCGCGAGTTAACTTATGGCGTCATGTACATAGTATCAACAAGCACATATGAAATTGATGGGGATGAGCGGGGAACATTTAACCCCCTAAGGATTTTTTGACACATCTTCGAACATCGTGTGATAACGTCACCAAACGTTGTATAGTTTGGCAAATGATTTTCAATATTTTGGAACACAAAAATCGACACTACTCATAAGACTGCTGATTTCTTGTGAGCCAAAGTAAGACCACGGCTGTTAGCGAAGCTAATTCCTATGGGAGTCATTCCAGCCCATGTCACAACTGGGTCTTAGATGAGGTCACACAGCTTTGAAGTTGTTTGCTAGAGAATTTTGCTGTTCAAATTATAATAGTCGCTGATTGCATTGGCCATAGTTCAGGTATGAAGATTACATCAAGGTCAAAATCAGGCAGTATGTTGCACTGGAAAACTTGCTTTAAGAGTTGTCACTCATTTTGGATTCACTGATCACAAAGACGACAAAAGGTTCCATGAAGGCTTAGGGAGGCTACTGTCCTAAAGCGGCCTTGATCATCCTTTTGCTGTGAGAAATATAGCACCTTGGGTAGTCTTGGCGCTGTTTTTAGATTCAAATTTGAGAATAATAGAAAACTTTTTTGGTCATTTCAGCTTTCTGAGCGTTAAATAAGGCCACTGAATTAACATGAACACAATTTTTTTCTTCTTTTTTTGTTTTACTCAGAAAAGATATCCTGGCTAAATTTAGTTTTATGGGGTCTCACAGCACTTCTGACACCGATCACGAGTTTGACCCAGGCTGGCCTAATTTGACCCGAAGGTCACGACCGAGAGACCTGGGCATTTGACACAAAATAGTTCATATAGAATGTGCCCTGCAAACTTGGTGTCTCTACCTCTTTTAGTTTACTTGAGATTCAGGTAAAGGGGGGGGGGGTTAGAGATCACCACCAATCCGCACCCGCACTCGACCGCGTCACTCTCAATCAAGCACGCGAGGCGTGGCATCATCTGTTATGGTCTCGCTTGTCGCGTGCCGCAGAAAACATCTTACTGGTAGATAGTTGGCCTCGGTATCTTGAAAAGGTAGTGACCAACCAAAGATGGCTTTTGTGCATGCAGATTGTTTTTCGGTTCTGGCGATGTACTGCATTCATAAGGATGCACTGGGTGAAACAAGGCGTATTTTCTATAAAAAAGGTTGATATGAGGGGAAATCCCAATATTGAAAACGCTACTTAAACAGCAGATCCCGCCGAACCAGATCGGTTAAGGAAGGGACGGTGCAGAGCATATATTCTAATGTGAGACAGCTATTTGCAGATAAATAATAAAAGAAAGCAGAAAATGAGCACATAGCCGCTTTTGAAGCGACACAAGTTTCCATTTCTGTCAATTGGATTTTGTTGACGCAGATGTAAGCAAATTAGGGCAGGAAAATAAACACTAGGTCCCAGATTCCATTCCAGCTTTTGAATTCCCTGAACCGCTGAGACCGCAAGCAAGATAAGACACAACACGTACGCAATGTGGCAAAACTGGGTGGCGTGTCACCACAAGATGAATTAATCTCAATATCATTCATTGAGATGATTATAAATTCAATTACCATATTAGTCAACTATCCCTGAGCTAACATTTTCAAATGCAATCTCCACGGTCACTCTCGATCTGCGATCATGCATTTCGTGCACTGACGCTTTCGCGTAAATCGGAGTCCTACAAATGGGGTTCAATATTCGTCGTCGCTCGCGCTACAAAACGAGCATTACTTCGATGGAATGATTGCCACCGAACTTGCTTTATCCATCTATGCGATCAATGGTGAGGCTATTGGCTTTAAAACGGGCCTTCCCACCAACGCAAGGCACTCATTAATCCCCGTCCGAGCCTTAAGCATGCATGTGCACTCCTCACGATCGTACCTGTGTGCTGTAAAAAATCAGGTACTTGCTGCACTCTGACCTGTAAACGGGTCAACAGGCAAAAGGCAATAAACAGACAGACAGACAGACAGGCAGACATTCGGACAGTCGCATCCCCTTAGAAGAAGTATTTCATAAGAGGCTCATTTAAACGCCGAGTCAGTACAGAAATATTGTGCAGCTTCATACTGTAGTCGATATCATTTTGTAGCCCGGATCTAAATATGGAGTAAGCGAAGATCATTCGGTTCTGACAAAAAGACTGCAATGAAGCTGCTCTCATGTTTGTCCGCTGGACGAAATGTGCCCAGTGATTTACTTTCAAAATAGGCGCTGGCTTAAAATGCATTTCTAGACGCGAGCTTTGACCTCATTACCTACGAAACGACAGCTTCGCTTAATTTTCAACCTTCAAACGCACACCGCGCTGATCCGCAATGTCGCAGGCAGTATGCCAATCCTTGAGATGTTGATCACAAATCCTTGAGATGTTTATCACAACCGTTACGACTGCTTTTGACGTCAGGTACATGGACGGGACAGAGATTGAGAGCAGTGAAGACCGGCTGATCCAGCGCAGAGGTAACCAGCATCGGCTGATCATCCCGCGCCTCAACTATGTTGACGCCGGGCTGTACAAGCTCACGCTGAGCAACGACAGCGGCCAGGCCTCCACACAGTGCAACGTCCTCATTAAGCGTAAGTGTTCGGCAGGGCGGTGCCAAAACCACCGCTATGGCGTACCATTTGTGCAGGTGTTAAGGTGATCTCATTACAGCGGACAACCACAGTATGTTATATCCAATGTTTGAAGTAACGGCATGTGCAGCAGCTCGGTCCGAAAATATGTTCCACGGTCTGGCTTACTTGGACCGGCTGTCTTCCTTTGTGGTCGCGCTTCCTGTACAGCAAACCAAAGGTACAAGGTACGCGAGTAAATTCTACGATCGCTTTAGCATGAGGCAACACCATGCACGCGCTCTCGAGTTTACAACACTACACCAAAAATAAATAATCTGCTGCATACGTTGTCGCTTTGGAACCTCAGTAAGGGTAACGCTAAAACCACTGCCGTGGGTGAAGGATGGTGAGGCCATATAATGCACCTCAAATCCGGGAATGGCCATCCCTCAGTTGCAGCCGCTAAAAGTTAGCTAATTTGCCCCAGATTTGGTGCAGGCAGCGAGCCACCTGCCACTCGGCATTCTTCAGTCATGGCCGTTGCCTCGCAATGCAGCGCAAAACTCAGCCTCCCAGGAGAATGGCACAGCATCTGAAAGCTACTTTCCCCGACCGATGCCTTGGTGCCAAACCCGCCTTTCCTGCTGTATCGGACGTATGGCTGACTAAGTGCTCCCCTTTTCAGCTCTGAGCGAGCTGAAAGCGCCACATTTCTTCCGGCCGTTGGTAAGAAGCGCAGCAAAGGACGGCCAGGAAGCCATATTGACAACAGAAGTGCGAGGATCGCCGCCACCCAGTGTTACCTGGTCAGTGAGCTTTCCGTTGTCAAATCCACCCAGTGTCAGCTAGTCAGTGTGCTTTCGGGTGACAGATGTCCCCAGTTACGACATACTCAAAGTAAGCTTGCCCTGCACTTAACAATGACAGCTTTTGTGTCGTGTTTTTCCCCATGCCGTGCTTTACACGATCGGCATCCGGCAGCTCTAGACGGGGTTGCTGCACCCTGACCCGCGTGACGCAGGGTGTTGGTTGTTTGAAATAACTAGTTGCAGCTTTTAACGTGCTATCCGCCTCATTTTTGCAGATATATTTAATGCAAAATCTCCAAAAAATTAAATTTCCCTAGATGGGCCCGACTGTCGGTACCGCCGACTGACCAGCCGCCATCTTTCGCTAACCTCAGGCACAGGGGGTCGGTGGAGCTGAGGCCCAGCTCAACAGTGCGCATCCGGCACGACCCGAGCACCTCACTGTGCGAGCTGCGCCTGCTGCGGCCGGACCTCGGAGCCGGAGCTGGAACGGGAGCAGGAACCGGAGATGAAGCCGGCGACCGCTACTCCTGCCGAGCCGTCAACCGACACGGACAGGCACAGATCTCGGTAGGTGGCAGCACCAGTTGGGTATAAGCGTCGCTGCCGGCGGCAGAGAAAAGCGACTGCGAGCTACTCCCCCTCCTCCCACGAAGTCGTGGCGGTGAGGTCAGTGAGCGACCGCCTACTTTGGCCGAGTCAAGCTAGGTCGGTTCATAGCGGGAAGGGGCCTTCCATAAATTTCGTTGCGCTCGGAGGGGGAGGAGTTCCATGGACGGCAGGCGGAGGTTAACATGGGGAGAGCATTTGTACAGCGTACCATTATGTCGAGGTATAATTAAAAATCCTAACAAAAGCTGTTGAGATGTTTGAAAAACACAAAACCCAGCACTGCTGACGGCCTCTTATAATAGGCAACACGACATTTTCTCTTTCGCACCTCCATCTCAATAAGGTTCCAAACACACGTGGTATATTGGGGACGCTACGTTTCATAAAGCGTAACCAGGTATGAGGGCGAGGGAGTTCGGCCATTGTAACAGGATCGTGAGACGGTTAGAGGCTTGGAATTACCCGAAAACACGTAGACTCATTTCGAGGGAAGAAAATGAACAATACCATACGGACTGATTGCTTATCCAACTTCTAAATAATATACACACAAAATTGCAAGCGTGGATGTGAGTCTGGCCCGCACTCAGAACCAAATATGGATGCATCAACATCTAATTCGTGCAATCGACAGAATCAACTCGTTTTGCATGAATCAGCATAAGACAAAGACACAATACAAAAGAATCATCTGACCCGAGCCCAGCCCCGAACATGTCAAGTATGCCACACGTAAGTACATCCGAGTCAAATTCTCACTCAGACGTTCAGGAACCTGCGCCTCAAACTCACATTAAGACTCACACCAACTGGACCGAGAGCCTAAATCTCTCATCCGAGGTGTATGGTATCCGAGATGTGTGACCCTGATTCGCCTAAATCAGTACCACTTGCCTCTGATCGCCAAGCTGCCAATTAAAGGCTTACTTAGTTTTGAAGCTTCCCAGATGAATAGGTAATGGACAAGAAACTAAGGCAGAACTGACTATCGTGCTGCTAAGCGGCTGCTAAGCAAGCCAAAACCAGTTCATGACTGACAAGGGAGGCAGATGTTAAGGACTCGTGCAATATAATGCAACAACAGAGGGATAAATTAATTCGTAGAGCCTTACGATGATTTCTTAGACAGTGAATTACGAACCATTCCATTGAGCTGTGGTCAGGTACAAAGGTCGGCTTAAGAAGAAAACCAGCGATATTCGTGAAAAACTTGCTTTGTGAAGTAGCTTTTGACGCTCATTTGGATTTCCTGGATGCAACGTCAACTGATCTCTTATCTTGATTTCATGTAGGTCAGATGAGGTCACTTACCTAAAATGATTTCAATCAACCTTCTGTTTGGAGGTGGATGCTGCCGAGATTAGATTTTTGATTAATATATTTCTAGGTAAGGTTGGTTGCGTGGGAAGGTCTGAAGGCGCTTCGGACACCAATCCGGAGTTGACCATCCTTGATTCTGCTCAATTCAATGGGGCACGACCAAGAGCCCAAAATTTGACACAAGTGAGTTCGCATAGAGGCTATGAATTAAGTGCTTTTATTTCTGTGTCTGAAATCTCGAGAGGGGAGGGGGCACTGACTCCCACCCGCACCCGGGCGCGTCGCATTCAACCGGCCACCCGGGCGCGTGTTAACTAACCGGCTCGCGCATGGAGCTGCCTATTGACCGAGCTTTATCCCGTGTACTGTTTGAGCGTCGTCCGCGCATCTACTCTGATATCGTGCATGCAAGGACCCTTGGTAGTACGCAGCTGAAAGGTTACTAGCGCACTATCTATGTACTGTCACGACAGGTGGTGCTAGGGGGACCGGAACAGCTCGAGCCGTTCAGCCCGGGTGACGTCACCGCTGACCACGTGACGTCACGAGACACTCCACATCCGCCCTCTGGCGCTGAGCTGCAGGATTGCGTCACATCGTCCGACGGCCCCACGTGAGTAGGTGTTACGCCCCGTGACATCTATACGGGCGTCTAATCGCCTCATTACAGCTATCTCAGTAGCTAGAACATGCCACTCCTTGTGCATATGAGTATGAGTAGCGCATTCAGCATGCTACTTCGCTTCACGCCACGAGCGTATGTGAGCACCTGCCACCCTCCTGCTCGGCATTTTGGCACACTGCGTCCGTGTCAGCGGTGAGCTAGCGGGCCACGTGGTCCATTCCTCTCGGCAATGGACATGCCTGAGCCGAGGGGCGGCTGGCCGGGCAAACGCACCGCCTCACATAAATAGCCTTGGAATGGAGGTGCGGCGCGGGGAAGGAGCGGGCACACCAGCTCACCAGCTCATCACAGCACCGGGGAAGGAGCGGGCACACCAGCTCACCAGCTCGTCACAGCACCGGGGAAGGAGCGGGCACACCAGCTCACTAGCTCGCCACAGCACCGGGGAAGGGGGCGGGCACGCCAGCTCACCAGCTCGCCACAGCACCGGGGAAGGGGGCGGGCTCACCAACCCGGTGGAGCACCGCGGGAGGGGTGCCGTGGGAGGGGGCGGGCTCACCAACTCGGTGGAGCACCGCGGGAGGGGTGCCGTGGGAGGGGGCGGGCTCACCAACTCGGTGGAGCACCGCGGGAGGGGTGCCGTGGGAGGGGGCGGGCTCACCAACTCGGTGGAGCGCCGCGGGAGTGGGCGAGTACACCAGCTCGGCACAGCACCACGGGAGGGGGCGGGGGCACCAGCTTGACACAGCACAATGGGAGAGGTGCCGTGGGAGGGGGCGTATACACCAGCTCGGCACAGCACCGCGGCAGGGGCGCCGTGGGAGGGGGCGGGTACACCAGCTTTGCACAGCACCGCGGCAGGGGCGCCGTGGGAGGGGGCGGGTACACCAGCTCGGCACAGCACCGCGGGAGGGGGCGGGCACACCAGCTTTGCACAGCAAAGCGGCAGGGATGCCGTGGGAGGGGGCGGGTACACCAGCTCGGGCAGCATCGCTGGAGGCGGCGCTCTCGTCAGAGTGTGTCCAGAGAACAAATCTGCTCGGAGCTAAGTCGCCAGTCGCGATATCGCAAGTCAATTATGACAAGACTTGCATTAAAACCCTTCTACGATAGCGCTGGAACATAACTTGGTACCAAATATAGCATGCACCGGAAATAGGGCATTCATTCGCAAAACCCGTGGGCTATCAAAATGGCCATAGATGCGTTCTCCAGAGGAGTATGTGACTGACATGCACCTATTCGTGAGTTCACCCTTATAATTGACGATTTGGACACACGTGACCAAGCACGCGAACGTAAAATCGCGATAGGGCACGTGAAGATAGCACAAACAGGCTGTCTTCATCTTAGAAATGTAGAAATAGGATGCCATTGAATCAAGTTATTTATTTGCGAAACTGTTTATTGCCTCAATTCTCCGGATTCAAGTCACTCTAAAGCAGTAGTTTTGAAACCAACTTAACCGCTTACATCCTACTCTTTTCACAACTCACGAATCCAGTAGGATACAATACAGGATATGTTAAAAATGCTCGCTTTCGTAAGCTTTAGAATAATCTCTCATATTCTAACACCCGCCCAGGTTTACCGTCCAGCATAGCGCGTGCTACCAAGGGTCAAAAGGTATTTCAAGCCCTCATCGATGGCGTCATAAGGTACACGTCAATTCAACTATCTGATCTATCGTTGAAACAAGCCTTCCTCAGAATGTGCCAAATTGATCACCTGTCTCGATTCTTTTTCCTAGAACTCGGAAGGGAATTACCCTCAATCTCCCCAGTCCTATGGCAGTCACGGGTTACGTCTGATCCAATGTAATGCCATTGGATCTATACTAAACTAAGCCGGAGAGACTTGACGAATGCATTTCACTCTGGTACGCATTGATGAATGCGAAATATACTTGTACGATTTGTTTCGGTTTAATGTTAGCTGTTCAGTGGTCGACCTATCTCACACACTATTCACTGATCTGGCAGGCACACCGTGTTTATCGCTGTGCGTGATATTGCCAGTGTGCATTCATGTTTTCGCGATACCGGCAATACATGACTTCACTTAAGCTGGTAACGCTCGATGTATGACTATCAAAACTGTTGTCAACACCGTCATTCCTTCTGCGATATGGCGTGCAGAACGGTGTCTTTCGCCAGTTCTCGGTTATTCTTTGCCGAACTCCGCTATTGACGCATACTGATAACTAGCTACAAATGGGGATCACAAATTCATCGCCGCCAACGCTACACAATAATCAATTTTTGTCATTTGCTCAACTACCACTTAACGCTTTACTTATTCCACCAACGTAAGCGCCTAAGGTCTTTTTATATGTCTGCCATATGCTGCGTGCATGACGTGTTTGGGTCGCACGGTGTCGGGGCGTCATGTGACAGTCCACGTGTTCGTCCCTGTCCTGGGTCATGTCAACATTCAGCTGCCTTACTCGCTCCGTTTCTACGTCATCCCCACGCCAGTCACACACACTCTCACACACTCTCTCTCACACACACACACACACACTCACGCACTCTCTCTCACACACACACACACTCGCAGGTGTGTGCATGACACTCAACACTTGTCGTGTTTTAGCAGGTGTGTGATAAGGTCTATTTTTACGTTTGTTGTTTGTGCGAAGTGAACCAGCCTTGTGATTAATCTTTTCTCGGCGGAGCGTCGCAACGGCACCTGGCGCCCCTGTTGGCGCCACCTGAGTACAACGGTGAGATTTGAAGTGGAGCGTTGACGGATGAGGCTGCGTTTTCAGAACAGAGACACCGCTCCCTTGTTGGACAAATAAACAACGACTACATGGCCCCTGCCTCGTATCCGGTAGTAAAACACGCCGTCATCACACAGCTGCAGCCGTAGCTTGTTTGCTGCGCGTGATAAAATAGCTTGTGATATTATATTATTTTATATTTAGTTTTGCTGCATATGCGCCCTGTCTGTTTGTAGGGTCTCATGCGGCTGCAAGACATTGGCATATAGCGGTGAGATGAGGCGATGCATCACAATTACTGAAATCGAAGATTTTGTTTTGCTTTTAGGCGTTAAGATCGCTGGTCCATGGTGTGAGATACAAAGGAAAAACACTGACCATCATCGGCAGACACTTCTAAATATTTGGTTTATATGCGCTCTTCCAGTGATAACTTTTTGCTGTGGGCTCCCCTTATATCTAGGTTAACAGTTGCCTTGCGATTGTTAAAATCAATATAACCTGGCTTGCTAGTTCTGTGCGTTGCGCAACAGGTATATAGCAGATGTACATGACAGGCACACCGTGCCCGTGCTGCTCTAGTGCTGATATTTGGTGTCAATCTTTATCAACACTCCGAACGGACACGCTCGAGGCCAGGCTCAACCCCGATCAGACCGTGTTGAAACCTAGAAACCTAGTTGAAACCTAGTGTGAAGAAATGACCGCCATTTTGGCCCATGCTTCGCCTAGATCTGACCAACTTGTTGACCCGTGCTGTGCCAATTTTTTGCAGCTTGAACGCCTTTCTTGTGCGTTTTCCATGTATAGCTTGCAGGTCGTGCAGTTTGTAGATTTACGATGGCCATCGAAGGTGAGAGCAAAATGTTGGTGATAACGCAACGCTGTTGCAAAAAGTCTAATCCGCCAGCCTACATGCAAACATTTGGAAACGTGTTGCAGCCTGTTGCAGCTTGAAAACTGTGTCTGGCTGAAAAAAAAACAGCGACTAATCTGCGCTTGCAGAGTTGTGCTCAAAAGCGTGACTAGCCATACTGTGCCGGCTCCGGGCGCCTGAGCTACAAACGTGACGTCACGCCGTCCTCTGGTGAACTGGTTCTCTCTCCGGCTCGGGTGGTGATGGATTCACATGATAAATGACGTCACGCCGTCCTCTGGTGAACTGGTTCTCTCTCCGGCCCAGGTGGTGATGGATTCACATGATGGATGGTGGAAGTCTACATCTTTTCAATAACGGTCAATGCGGCTACCGTGTAGGTGCACGTCTTACGGACAAATGATGCTTCAGGCTTATCCATAATACACTGAATGAGACCATTTTCTTCTTCTACAATTAGGTGAATAGCTGCATGACCTTCTTCCAAAACAATGCAACTGGAAGCCGTTGCTGCTATGGGCTACCTGTTCAGCCTCACTGTTGTATTGCCGTCTGATTTTATTGCCTGCCGCCTGTGTCGTCTCCCCCTGATCAGCGTGACCGTAATAATACAGTAATAGATGACTGCCATCATTGAAGAACAGCAATGCAACCAGTTTCCCAATTAAACATCAAAATATGTTTTGCATTGTACAGACACGTTAACATAAACGCATGTTACTCACATTTCATCATGTCATGGACAATCGAAATTGACAACTAGAGAACAACATTGAAGTGGGGCAGAAAAGTGTAACGGAACGCAAGCATAAAACTCAGCATACAGCCATCAGACACAGCATCTCTTCAGTCGAAATGTTCTTTGCCACTTAGCCTCCCGTCTTGAATCTCTGGCCGTAGCTTTTTCTAAACACTGCGACACAGTGCAGCACTTGCGGCACGGCAGCCATTGTGTTACAAGTGCTGATGCTGGTGATGACGAACGGTGCTAGCTCACTCTGCTACTCCAGATGGGTGAAAGGTCAAAAAGGCTGGCTGACCTATGCACTAGTGGCACAGGACATTCTGTCTGGCCTCTAGACGCTGCCGACGCTGAGCGACGGTCGTCTTCAAACGTGTCGTCCCTCCTTCATCTTTCATTTACCGATGTGTACGTTTCGGGAGATTGATTTAGTCTAGCTTGAACATGGCCGGATGAGGACGTGGCGGCCAGGGGATCGGCGCCGTTCGTTCGGCACCTGACGACTGCGGCACCGCCACCGCTCACCCCGCGCCAGTATCAGGCCGGTGGTCGTCAGCTAGCCCCCATCCCAGTCCTGTCACCCAGCAATGTGGCCCGCGCAAGCCGCCGCACCGGCGCATCCCTGGCCGCCATAAACTGCAGCCGGCGCCGCGGCGTGGCCGGCCGTGCTGGCGCGCCGCCGGCGGCCGGTGGCGCCGCGCCAGCCGAGCTGCTCCGGCCAGCTCGTAGCGCCGATGGCGACGCTTGTTGGACCGCGACGTGCGACGACCTGGGCCGGGGGGGGGGGGGGGCTGTGTCGCGAAGGCGGCTCCGCCTCGGTCGGCCTCGATCCGCTGTCGTCACGGTGCCGGCCGGAGCCGACAGCGGCCGCCGCGACCGCCCGTGGCGGAGAGCGACGGCCGCCTCGGCCGCCAGCCAGCCGCAGCGGAAATGGCCGCCACGCCATGAGCGCAGGGGAGGCGGAGGCAGCCGCCTGGGCGCTGCTGGCTACCGCGGGTTACGTACTCTGTGACCTGCTGACCGGCCTGGCCGCCCGCAGGCTTCAGGAGCAGCCGCAGCCGGCGCCGGACGACGCAGCCTCTGAGTCGCCGCCGTCGGAGCAGGCAGCGCCGTCGGTCGCCGCCGCCGCCCACTCGGAGGACAGAAGTCGCGGCGACGGTGCAGAGCCCGTGGCTGCGGACCCCCGGAGCCGCGAGCAGCGTGAGTGCCGGCGACCTGGGCCGATACGCCCTGCAGTTGCAGTGAGCGTTACTGTTTTGTGTAGTCCTGTGGCATAGCGAGTAACTTAATGGCTGTTGTCACGAGCAAGGCTGCATGTCCGGCTGGTACTCTATGTAGCACTCGACTGCTGGGCGGCTTGAACTGAGAAGGCTCGGCCTGACGCTTCTTGAATTGAGGTGGCTCAGCCTGACGCTACCTGAACTGAGGTGGCTCTTTCCGACGCTTCTTGACTAAACCCTATGATAACACGGTCTTTAAGTGCGCCCGTGTGTAAGGTTTCGTGGTGAGCGGTCAGCGGCGTAGTAGAAATTACTGCTTCGATGAGAGACGTAGGCAGCACCTGAGTTGTTTTGCGGTGTTGGCATGTCGTCCGTTAGATGGGACTGTATGGGCGTCAAAGGGACGCATGCTGCCTGTTAATCGATATCAGGCAGCTTCTATTACGTAGTCAGTCTCGCTTACCAGAACCCTTAGGCACGTGTCAGATTAGCTGCCCTTGCCATCGGCTATTCAGCTTCCTTGAATAAAAAAATCCTATTCAGCTTCTCTCGCTTTATTACATTCTTTCTTGTTCTTATTTCTTCGTTCAACATCTTTGGTTATCTTTAAAAGAGTATTTCGAGCAATTTTATGATCCTTGTTTCTTCACTGAAATTCGCAGATGCTCGCAGAAAGGCAACAACTCGAGCGCTGGAATCTTGTGAACTTGCTTGGTGATAATGCAAAACCCAGAAACCGTTCACCTTGCAGGATCCAGGAGCAGTTCCAAAACTGATTTCCAACGGGCATGGCAGGACAAGTTGTGGTCTTGACCCATGCATATCCATATTATTTACTTCTACTGCAAAACAATAGCACTCGGTTTTGCTACAAAACAAGATTCGAGCGCAGTTGGTCATAGTAACGACAATCGACTTTCAACATATGGGCCCGCTATGATCAGCGTAGGAAATAATACAGCGGTACATTTGAAAGTCTTTAATATGAAGTTATATTGCATCATATGCATTGATTCAGAACTCCCATAGTCAGATCCAAAATTGTCGTTTTTGTTGTGGTCTTGTCATTGCGCTATTACTACATATTGCGTATACTATATATATATATATATATATATATATATATTATCTATATATATCTCTCTCTCTCTCTCTTCTCCTCTCTAATCATCTCTCTCCTCCCTCTCTCTCGTTCTCCTATCTCTCCTCTCTCTCCTCTCTCTCTCTCTATCCTCTCTCTCTCCTCTCCTCTTTTCTCCTCTCTCTCTTTCACTCTGTTCTCGCTCTCCTCTTTCCCTCTGTGTGTGTGTGTGTGTGTGTGTGGGTGTGTTGTGTGGTGTGTGTGTGTGTGTGTGGTGTGTGTGTGTGTGTGTGTGGTGTGTGTGTTGTGTGTGTGTGTGTGTGTGTGTGTGTATGTTTGTGTGTGTCGGTGCTAAATTTTCTCGCGTAAACTGAATGTCATATTAGCTAAAATATGCGTCGTGTATCAATGCATGTCTTAACCATAAGGTAATGGAGCAGTTCAACACATGAAAAACAAAGGATTGGGGGCATGGCTGTCTCATTACACGATTTCAAAAGTTTTCCTACACTGTAAACTTGAAAAACGGCCCATGCAAACTGAGCTAGTGGCAGTTAAAGATCAGAGCTCAATCAAATCGTCTTAAGGTCAGCATGACCTGGCCATCAGATCATGTTCTGGTCACCATCAGATCGTGTTCTGATCACCATCAGAACATATTCTGGCCGCGATCAGAAAACATGTTCTGGTCACGATCAGATCATGTTATGATCACCATTAGATCACGTTTTGTCCATCAGAATGCGTTTCTATTACTGGTACGCGGCGAATATATCGTGATCAGAACCACGTTGGGCTGTCGGGCTGTCCGCCTTTCTTTGGCACGCCAACAGAAAAGTGTGCCGCCGTAGTCCACGTGGGCCACGGCAGGATGCTTCTTAAATGACTTGCACAGTCAAACCGAAAGTAGAGGGGTAGCAGCTCCTTCAAAGCGGCGGAGATGGACACTGGATGAGTTGAGATGAGACGAGTGACACCCCCACCTGAGGTGCTCCAGTGCTATCGGCTCAGCGGGTGTCCGGCGGCCGTCCGACAACGCTCCTGACGTCACAGGTCAGCCTGTGGCTTCTACTGACGTCACGGGTCAGTCGTAGTTCCTACTGACGTCACATGTCAGTATGTGGCTCCTGCTGACGTTACAGGTCAGCATGTGGCTCCTGCTGATGAAAAAGTCCGTCAGCCGTACCCAGACTGCAATATGTGCCGCAGTGACGACACTCCGTGTTGCAGGGAAGCCTATCAGCTACCGGCCCAGACCGCTGCCAGCTGCCGGTGACACCAGCCGGACACTCAGACGAGAGGCCGCCAGTGTCAGGTGAGATTGTCCATCATCCGGACACTCAAACGAGAGGCCACTGGTGTCAGGTGAGATTGTTCAGCCATCCGGACACTCAGACCGGAGGCCATCGGTGTCAGGTGAGATTGTCCACCCGTCCGGACACTCAGACTAGAGGCGACTGGTGTCTGGTGGGATTGTCATCCGTCCGGACACTCAGTCGAAAGGTCACCGGTGTCAGGTGAGATTGTCTAGCTTCCCGGACTCTTAGACGAGAGGTCACTAGTGTCAGGTGGATTGTCTTGTCGTCCGGACACTCAGACGAGAGGTCACTTGTGTCAGGGAAGCTGTCTAATAGACCTGGTATTCATGCGAAACAATAAATGCCGGCTTGTATCGCAGGGACGTTAGGCGTTAAACCACGCCTGCAGCTAATTGCTGGTTTTGAGTTGCCCACGTGACATTGTGACGTAGTTTGTGGCGTATTGGGCGCAACGTACCGAAATGCTCTAAAATGCATTTCCTTCCACAAACGATCATGTTTGAAAAAAGGCACGACTGCATAGCGTCTTGTCAGCCATTCTGGTTGAGTGAAAGTCACCGATTTTGCCGCGACCACCGTAACCGTCTGTGCTCCATAGAACGATGTTAGCCTTGTTCCTTTCTTCTACAAAACAGCCCCAACTTCCCAGGAACTTGGCGGAAACTGACTAGAATAGCAATTGTTTGTGGCGACCAACTGTATAGCATAACTTATGATTGCTTTCTAAACTTCGGGACCAAAGCTGCTTTTTAAATGACTTGTAATATTGACATCGATATTAATCACCGATGACAAAAAACGTGCGCCGTGCGGCCTCCTCCTCTGCATGAATGATGTCCTCACTAGGTCCGCATAACTAACCGTCTGCTTCTGGCGCCATGCACCCACCTCAGCCGATTCGCCTTCTGACGGCCTTCTATGCACTCTTGCCAGAGAATGCAGAGGTGCGCCCATCATGAGGCGATTCAGAGACGCACGCGGCTTTAGGCCTCAACGCAGGCAAATACCTCATACACGTATTTTGAAAGCGTTGCACTGGTTTATGCTAGCGAAACGCTAGCAGAGATGCTGGAGACGTCTCCTCTGTTGGACGGATCTTCATGCATCCTTATTTCAATAGGGCAGCTATCTGGTGTCATTACATATGTGGTGTAATGAAGTCGTGCAGGCTACCTACTAAGAGTGCCTAGCAGCCTTGGCGCCAAGCAGCAGGCCACAGGCAGTGTCTGGAGCCTTATTTTGGTGCAGACATGACCAGCCTGCACCAGCGTCAGGCCGTGGACAGCTGCTCGTCTCCCGTGAGTACAGCTGCTGAAGGAGCAGCCCCCGACACTGGAGCATCCAGCTCTCGCGGTCGGCGAGTGGGGCTGTTTGTTTCCGCGCGCGAGCGAGACCGGTCGTTGGACGACGGGCTTCTTGCCCCTGGTAGTGCCTGCCGGCCGGCTCACTTTCTGACACAAGCTGGGGCCGGGGACAGCGGCCGCAGCCGCAGCGGCACTTGTCCCACCGCGCCTGACACCGCATCGCTCCGGAGCTAATAATAGTGGGGTGCCCCGGCGGCGCCCGTACCGCCGCCGGACCCTGGCCAGCGGCCACCGCCGGCCACCGAACCGCCCGCCACCACCAATGACAGTGGCACAGGTCTGATGACGTCACGGCGGCGCTAAATTCGTCGGCCGGAGGCTATAGCCCCGCGGACAGTCGCTGTCCGCACCCGATACTCTAAATGCATGGTGGTTTTTCATTTCATATGTCATGCTTGGTTTTCGTGTTTGCTTGATTAACAGTTCTTGCTCTTCTTCCGTGCATTTCCGTTTCACATCTTGTGCTCGGTTGGAGTTTTCTTTAGCTACGGAACAAACATTTCGTCATCTTCAGCCAACATTTTTCGCCTTTCAGATGGCCCATTTATTGGAACGGTACAAAAGGTCGTGAAGATTTTCCATCGTCCAACGTACGCTGAATAGGTGCATCAATGAAAATATACCATGGTACTGAAATTCGTGCGTTGTCTACGCCAAAACGCTGTAAGTGCTGTAGCGCTCAAAGGCTTCTCTCGCCATTCGAATGCCCAAAGTATTTCCCAAACTACTTCGTGCATCAGCGAGCACTAACCATCATGGCTATGAGTTGTCTGTGCAAGCCCTGAAAAATGGCAAACACCAGTAACCTACTCTCTTTCTATGTGCTTGATCACAAATGCGCCGGCAACATGGCTAATGGCCTGCATGGATACCGTGCAGAGATGAAGCCTTTTCCACCATCACTAAGGACTGTACAGGAATCAGCATGCAAGCCTATCCGACTTCCTCTGGGGTAGATGGCTCATAAAACATGACCTGGAGATGCAGCGTCATCACAGCCCACGTCTTGATCCACCAATCGCGCAGCGGAAATATCCCAGATGCTTTCACGGGTCCGCGCTGACCTGGCCGATTTCTGTAGCTGGCCAGCGACATAGCCGGCTCGGCCCCGTCATCAAATTTGGGAGCCACTGGCGTGGCTCGGTCCTCCCGTCAGTCAGCGTGCAAGAGCCCTTCCCCAGCCTGGCCTGGCCTGGCCCTCTCGTCAGTCAGCGTGCTGATGTCCTTGCCAAGCCCACACTAGAGTGCTGCCTCCGTGCCTGGACCCATCCAGCGCAATGGCACAGCATATAATGTGTCATGGACTGCCCTCTGTGTCCTGTCTCAATCATTCTGACCACCAGATGATGCTTACATCCTCTGCTGCATCAGGGCATTCCTCCTTTCTCTGATACACCGGAACGCTGAGCCCGTCCTCTACTGTATACAGACACACCAGGTCTCGGTTCATACTCTCTCGTGTACATTACCCTTTTGAAATATTCAATTTTGCGAGAAAACTGTTCCTATCCTTTGGAAAAGCAGGGTGCTGCGCTACCCCTGGGTGCCCCCGCTGTGCTAGGTGCTATGCCAGGTCATCATTCCCACCCAGCGCTCTGCCAGAGTGATCTCCTCGCATCCTCTGAAGTACCGGGACCCGACCCCTTCTCCATTATACCAGAGCCAGGTCCTGAGCCTGTCCGCGACCCTCCGTCTGCCCGGTGCTCTCTTCTGGCCGCTCGCGGAGGCCGCCGACATTCCGTGGCGGCGAGCGCCGGCCAGCGCTGCGTCGGCATCTGGCAGGTGGCGACGGCGGCGCTGGCACCGCTGCCGCCGCCGACGCAACAGCTGACCGCGGCCGTTGCGCGTCGCGATTGGTGGGCGGCGCCCCGCCGCGGTTCCGGGTGGGTTTCACGTGCCGGCCGCCAGCGCCGCCGCCCGCCCCCCTCAGTCGGCCCCCGCGGCGGTGTGACGCGTGTGCGTGCGTGGGCGTGGCCGACGTCTGTGCAGCGGCACGCTGAGGGGCGGCAGGTGCAGCAGGCGTCTTCCCTGTCGGCAGAGGCGGGCACCGCCAGCCGGCTGCCGCGGCAGTCATGAGCTCGGCCGAGGCGCTGGATGCCGTGGAGGCGGAGGAAACTGCCCCGAAGGAGGCTACCGGGGAGGAGGCGGCCGCCGATGCCCAGACAGAGGCCCCCGAGCAGGTCGACGGGGCTGTTGAAGGTAAGAATGAGGATGGGTTAGTGAGCAGACCTCCGAGGAGCCGGATTGCACAAATGCCACGATGACCTGTTTTGCTCTGACTTCAACTGCTTTTACGTTAAAAAGCATTTAAATCCATTTGTGGATGAAGCTTGAGTTGCGGCATGGAAGACCAATACAAATATTGACTGATTTTTCACAGGAACAGCGTTGATCAATGCAATCTAGCGCGCTGCAATGGGAAATATGAAACACCATTGCCTCTCCCAGCAATGCCAGACGATCCCCTTATCTGTTCAGCTTACTGATTTTGATGCCGCTCTCAACCAGCGCCAGACGGAACCTGTTTAACCAGCGTCTGACGGAAGTTGTTTTACCATCGCCAGGCGGCAACTACTTAACTAGCGTTGGGCGGGAGGTATTTAACCGGCGCCGGACGGGATCTGTTTAACCAGCGTCTGACGGAAGTCGTTTTACCAGCGCCAGGTGGCAGCTATTTAACTAGCGCCAGCCGTGAGGTATTTAACCGGCGCCGGACGGGATCTGTTTAACCAGCGTCTAACGGAAGTCGTTTTACCAGCGCCAGGTGGCAGTTATTTAACTAGCGCCAGCCGTGAGGTATTTAACCGGCGCCGGACGGGATCTGTTTAACCAGCGTCTGACGGAAGTCGTTTTACCAGCGCCAGGTGGCAGCTATTTAACTAGCGCCAGCCGTGAGGTATTTAGCCGGCGCCGGACGGGATCTGTTTAACCAGCGTCTGACGGAAGTCGTTTTACCAGCGCCAGGTGGCAGCTATTTAACTAGCGCCAGGCGGGAGGCATTTAACAGGCGCCGGACGGGATCTATTTGACCAGCGTCAGGCGGGATCTGTTTTGACCAGCGCCTGACGTGATCTGTTTAACCAGCGTCGGGTGGAATCTGCTTGATCAGTCAGGCGAGATTTGTTAAACCGGCGTCAGGTGGGAGCTCTTTAACCAGCGTCAGACGGGTCTGTTCAACCAGCACCTGGTGTGACCTGTTTAGCCTGCATCAGGTGGGAGCTGTTTAACCAGCGTCAGCTGAAAGCTGTTTAACCAGTGTCAGATGGGAGTTGTTTAACTATCGTCTGTCGGGATCTATTTAACGGGAGGCTGGTGGGATCTGTTTAGTCAACGGCTGGCGGGAGTTGTCTAACCACCAGCGGCTGGCCGGAGCTGTCTCACTACCAGCGGCTGGCCGGAGGCCGTGTGTCCGGCTCCGACAGTGGCAGGGATCCGCTCGCCAATGGGCTCCCAAGTGGTCCCAGGGAAAACCGATCTTATCGTAAGCCAGGAGTTTTTAGTCAGTCAGAGATCATTGGCCTAAACGGGACAATAACAAAGGTTATTGGCCTAAACAGGCCAAAGGTGACCCGTTTGCTTAGAGACGATCAGCCAACTGCATATTCACAGCTATCATTGATGCCTAGAAACAGCAATGTGTCAACACTGCATCGATCGCAAAAGCTGCTCTGCAAGCACCCCAGAATAATAGCATAGCTCAGTGGTCGTACATCAGCGGGACTACGGTTTTATATACGCGAATAGCGCCGACCTATCGGCCTTTGGCAGTTAAATATAGATACGATTATGCTAATGTTTGATTGCGATTGTGTTAAAAGTATGACACTGATAATGATAGTGACAATCACAATCACTGTCCTGGGATTGTGTCTAAATCCCTTTTTCAGTACCATCTTGTTTCCTTTTGTTTGTCATTTTGCTCCGTGACCTATGAAGCCATCCACCTGACGTTTGCAGTGCTCTTTAATGAATATGTGATCCATTCCTGGGTGCGGGGCTGGATTTCGGCTTTCCTCAGGGGTTTTGCCAGCGTGTCCGAAACAGACTGTAGTAGGTGGTTAAAAATCTCTGACTTCCAGGCCATCCTTTATGGGTATTGCGCAAAAATTCAGCATATCTTCGCCGGTATGAAGCTCAGCAACTAGAGGGGTTTTAGCCTTTACAAAGGCAGGGTTGTGCACTGCACCGAGTGATCTTCAAGATGGCTGCTTCAGTTCAAAGCCCCATACAAATGTAGAATACTCTCTTCAATGTAAATGCATCGAAAATTGGACCCCATGTCATCTTATATTAGCGCTCAACTGTCTTAGTAGTTCTGTCCTATACCAGGAGGTCCTGAATAAGTATTTTATTGTAGCTCTAGTTTCTGGAACAATAACGTCACAATTTACCCCATGTAATAAAGTCGGCCATATTTTCCTTACTTTGCACCTTTCACCTTCCTCATGAGTTACGGTTTGTTCACGAGGTCATTAGAAAGTCATTTAAATCTTCAAGTCATCGCATCAAGATATGGAAATAGAATGGAACGGTTTTGACAAGTTCATCAAACGTTAACTGAAACTTAAGAAATGTGTTGTTTGAAAATCATTTCTTGGCAGTTTTGTGTATTTTTAAGCCTTGAAAGTGTTTCGTAGTTCCAGAAATGGTCGGGTGTTTACGTTAGGTAATTTGTCGCCACATGTTGTTTCTTGTTTTTATGAATAGCGTTATTTCATAAGATTTTAAGAGGTTAAGTTAGTTTACAGGTCTTGCTTTATAACTGTAATGTAATGTCAACTTAAGTGACCATACGCGGTGCGCATTGCGTAATAGCGGTTACTTTGATAAATTCACGCAAATTGTTCCAGAATAAACAAATGTTGCTATAACATAAACTGAGCCATAACACATGCATCATGCCTTTTTATTAAAGGAGTGTCCCACCATTTGGACATATTTCGAAAACATACTCAGGTGAAACCTCAAAACTAGTTACGCCTTATGGTAGCTCTTGGTAGTGCCACTGTGGTACCGTCAAGACATGATAAGGATAACAATTTAAATTATTTTCTGGTACAAATAAAACTGTCAGCGCTTTGCAGCACTGCACCTCTTTCCTACAATCGCGACCACCGTCGTCATGACAACCACCGTGCGCACCTCTACTGGTGTGAATCAAAAAACGTTTGTGATTAGCACAGCGGGCAAGACCCTGTTACCGAGAACCGCATTGGTTGAAGATTGAGCCAGTGCGCCACGCCACATGGATTGTGTAATGCTCCATTCCCAAAGCCAAAGTGCTCTTCGAAAAAAGCCACAGTGGCAAACGTCATATCGGAGAAATCAAAGCCACAGTATCACGTTTCGTTGCATTCTCTGGATAAAAGCTTTACATTCGCATGTATTTTTGTCTAAGCAGCATTCAAGCTTCCGTAGGATTTATTATACAGACATTTTCACAAACCTTTTTGACACATCAGTGTGCTGCAAATATAACAGACCATACGA